TGATGATTCGACTCAATCTTGTTGTTTTTATCTTTTCTCAGAGCATCAGGTCTGTTCATGAAGTTTATTTACAGTAAACTGGATTAGATCAGAATAATTGTGCTCATACTTTCACTAATCAAGTGTTTACAGTGCGATCAGAGGATCTGGGTTTATATATTTCACATTTATTAATAAACTGACAATTTACCAATTTTACTACAAATTTTGCAGCCCAAAGCATTATGGGTAGAATCTCTACAGTCTGTTCTCACTCATCAACACAGTTTCACTGATGATCCAGTATAATAAAGCCTAAACCCAGGATAGAGTGTGTGTGTGAATGTGGTCTGGACTGTGTGTATGAGGCTCATTGTGTCAGAGACGCTGTAGAAGGACAGAGTTCCTGCACTGGGATCCACACACACTCCTATTCTCCTCCTGAGACACACACACTCTCCTGCTTTACTGCTGATGGACTCTACAGGGAGTTTAGTCTCTATGCTATTGTGTCTGAATGTGTAACTGTCAGGATAGCAGAACAAACTCCAGGACTGATCATTATATCCAAACACACACTCATTACGCGATCCCTTCCTGCTGATGCTCTTATATGACACTGATATAAACACACTCCCACTCCACTCAATCTCCCAGTAACAGCGTCCACACACACTCTCTCTACACAACACCTGACGCACATCATTAAATCTGTCTGGATGATCAGGATACGGCTGGACTGTGTTAGTGAATCTAATCACTCTGTTCCTCTCAGACAGACGGAGGCGTTTATTCACTGTGTTCAGATCCAGAGTGAGCGGAAGAAGATCTGATGGAGAGAAAACACATCAGTGAGTGTGTGTGTGTGTGTTTGAACTGATGAGAATCTGATGGAGAGAAGACACATCAGTGAGTGTGTGTGTGTGTGTGTGTGTGTGTGTGTGTGTGTGTGTGTGTGTGTGTGTGTGTGTGTGTGTGTGTGTGTGTGTGTGTTTGAACTGATGAGAATCTGATGGAGAGAAAACACATCAGAATCAGGAATTATGCATCTGTCAGATCTGTCTAATATCCTGTGCAAATCACCATTATCATTATCCATCATCCAGGTCCCTCACACACCACTTAATAAAATATTGTCTAATCGTCTTCCCTGAATATTAATGTTGATTATTACTCTGTTTATTATAATTAGGCCTATTATTGTATTTACATTATTTATATTTACATTATTCAAATGGTACAACGAATTGACCTTTCATTTTATCTATAATAATTTTTATCTTTAAAAATAAGTGTAATAATATGGTTTACAAGGTTTTGAAGCATCATTGGACTATTGTTGGGGATTTTCAGTGTTTTCAGCCTTTGGTGATCTTGAGCTTTTTACATTTCCATCTGTTGACTCACAAATTAAAGAGAATTGAAACAAAATCCTGTTAAGGATAAAAACAGTTTGTTCTTCCTTTCCTGAAACTCTTGAAAAGCTTTTCTTTTTTACTACTGTGATTTTACCTTTAAATCTTGGATCAATGTTTTTAATTGGCTTTCAGTGAATAATAATCATATTTAGGTCACATTTTATTTTAAGGTGATGTAGAGGCATTGTACTTTAGTAAGTACTGAGTAATATCAATTGACTACATGTATTTACTATAGAGTTACAGTTTGGTTGATGGTTAATTACTTTAATTATGCACAATTTACTGTTATTACTATAGTAAATACATGTAGTAACGTGTAAAATAAAGTGTTACCCATATTTATCCCTTAGTTTTAGAAGATATCCTGTTTTTGAAGAATATGTTGAATCCCCAGTTTAGGCCTGTCCTGATTTACATATTTGTTAAAGTCACAAGTCTTGCTTTTTTGGATGTCAGTAAGTATGATATAGTTGTGCTCTATTTCCCACTTTGTAAATGTGCAATACATTTTTTTCTATTTTAATCTTTCTGTTCATCAAAAAGTCCAGATAAAAACACTTCCACACATTTCACATTATTATTCTACATTTTAAAATATATTAAAATAGAAAACAGTTATTTTAATTAGTAATAACATTCCACAATATTACTGTTTGTACTGTGTTTTGATCAAATAAATGAAGTCGAAAAACCGACCCCAAACTTTTTATCGGGGGTGTATATTATACATTTTTATTTATAATATACATTTTGGTGTATATTATTATTATTTTTCACCTATATATAATTTAAAAAGCATGTAAAGAGGAATTATATTTCTAAGTGTTAAATAACCGCTTTAGAAATCTGGCACTGAAACCTTTAATTACGTAGATTAACTTGGACATGTGAAAGTGAAAGTGACACATGATTGAATTTGACCTCTGCATTTAACCCATCCAAGTTAGTGCACACACATTAGGAGCAGAGTAGTGAGTAGTGAACACACACACTGCAAACGTGGATACACACACCCGGAGCAGCGGGCAGCCTGTGAGGCCTAATCTTTTTATGCGGCTTTAAAACATATATTGCTTCCAGCGCCTGTGTGTGTGTGTGTGTGTGTGTGTGTGTGTGTGTGTGTGTGTGTGTGTGTGTGTGCCCATTGTGGGAGTTTTAAAGTCAGCATGAAATGGAAGCTGCAATAGTCTTTTCTTCTCTATTGTGAAGTATATCAGAGTGAAACAAGAACAAATGTACGCTATGTTCGCCGGACACCCCGTTTAAAAACCGCTAATTTACAACTCTAAAACTCTTCTGTCATGTTTTCTTTCACCTTCTACATGAAGAACATGAACACACTCAGTGAGTTTTCTGCTTGTTTTCTTAGTGACTTACATTGTAGGAAGTCGTTCCTGGTCTTGGGAACAATGTTGGTGAAAGTGACTGTGGAAATCAACAGACATGAAGAGTGTGATTATCATGTCAAGAGAAAATGATCCCTGCATCTGTTCCTAAGACATTTCTAATATGATCTTCTACATGATATGAGATGATGGAGGATCATTTCTGAGAGCAGAATCTCCAGGACTTTACCTCTGTCAGAGATCTTCTTCAGCTCCACTTTGCAGAAATCCTCCAGTTTGTCTCTCAGCTGACGGACAGATTCTCTCACGCCATCAAAAGAGGAGAGAGGACTGAAGGGATTGTCATTTACTTCTGTAGATTCAGGAGGAGCTGAGAGAGACTGGAAACTCTACAGAAAACAGAAATCAAAGCTCATCACCTCCACACTTCATCAATAACCTGCACTACTGTCAGATTTGTGCAGCTCTTGTTGATCTTTAGTAACTCTCCTCAATCCAGCACTTTCACAGCATCAGCTTCATTCTTCTCATATTCATTACATCATGTTAGAGCTACAAGTTCTAGCGTTTGACACTTACACTATATGTGAACTTTCTAGGAAAACACTTGGATGATCAAACTTCTGGCAATAACATTAATGTCAAGTGCCTCAATGGAGTCACATTGAGTAAATTGAATCAGGAAAAGCCGCTCAAAGGCAACGAGTAGATTTACCTTTATTAATAACTTTTGAGCAGTTCTAAACTTTTGCCTCTGAAATTCACAAGGACTCTTAGGACATTATCGAAGTGTCAGGTTTTGTGGTCTACATCAACAAATATGAAGCAGATATATCATGCTAGTGCAATAAGTTCTAGCATTTGCCATTTACACCATAAGCAAACTTTCTAGGAAAACACTTGGATGATCAAACATCTGGCAATAACATACTAACAGATCAAGAGCATCAATGGCATCAAACGGCAGGACTGAGTAGATTTGATTAATTCTGAATTCTTTGGCTCATTCTGTCTCATTTGACACGATCCCAATGTCAGGTTTTGTGGTTTAAATACACTGCAGAAGAAGAGAGTCTAACTGATGATTATATAATAACCGAACACTAGGGTTGGGTACCGAAACTCGGTGCCAATAGGGAACCGGTTCCGACGTAAACGGTAGTAACCAGACCGAATAAGAACGACAATTTCGGTGCCTGATTTCGGTGCCTGACTTAATTAGGCACACACACACGCACAGTCTCTTCTGTCTCGCATGCGCGCTCTTTCTCGCAAGGTTTGGCTGCATTTCACGTGTAAAATTACGCGTCAGAACGCCCTCTGGGTGTGCCGATAGTCTGAATCCCATATAGAATCAAGCCCATTCATTGGCTGATGGCGCGGGCGCCGCCTCGACGCACTTACGTCGTCATATTATGTTGGCGCGCGCGCGCCATCTGCTCCTCAGATTTCTCTGCCGAAAAAGGAAGCTGGTCGGCAGCGCGAGGAGCTTGGCAGCGTCTCGTTCCCAATTGAGAGAACATAGGTTACACCAGTAACCAGAGATGTTCTCTTTCATAGGTTCACTCAACGCTGCGTAGCTAAGAAGCAGTGGATTTGTATTTGTAGGCTACTGTATCACTGGCCGTTTGAACTGACGCGCTACAGCGATCTGTCACATTTCAAAGAGCCAAAACGTTATTTATTGTGTGAATCTCGTAAAAATATTGACAGAATCTGACAGCTGTGGATTTGTTCCATATCAAAAGTAACCTTCTCTGTCTTGTCTGTCGGTGTCCTCTTTGTCCGCGATTTTTCTCTGCGTGAGAAAATGGATGTGTGGCGTGAGAGCGTGTGAAAAGGGTCAATTGCGTGAGTCTCACGGTCAATGCGTGAGAGTTGGCAGCTCTGCAATCTCTATTAATCTCCAGTATTATTACATTGTTTGATACAATATTGTTTTATTTGATATTATGTAAATGTGTAAAATGTAATGTAATTTTTTTTATTTTATATTGGTTTTATTATTACCATATGTTACTTGTATTTATATTGTTTAAAGATGTCCAGTTTGGCCCTGTAAATAAAAGGGTATTATCTTTTGATAAAGTGTGTGCGGTTTCGTTTTCTTAAGTACCGTTTCAAGAACCGTTTAAGCACCGGAACCGTTTAAAAAATACCGAGTAGGTACTGGTATCGGATAAAACCCAATGATCCTGTTCTTCTAGATCTCTGTTACCTGCAGGAAATGGATGTGATCCTGTGTGTGTGAAAGCTGCTCCAGCTCAGCGTCTCTCCTCCTCAGATCATTGATCTCCTGCTCCAGTTCCTCCAGTCGTCCTTCAGCTCGACTCACTGCAGTCTTTTCCTGATCTCTGATCCGCTGTGTCGCCTCAGAGCGGCTTCTCTCAATGGAGCGGATGAGCTCAGTGAAGATCCTCTCACTGTCCTCCACTGCTGTCTGTGCAGAGCGCTGTTACACACACATCACAATCACACAGTGAGCTTCAGTGAGTCCTGACTGAGACGTCTCAAACTTCTCTTCTTCTCCAGACTCACCTTATGAGACGCCACAGCCTCTCTCAGCTGCTGAAGATCTTTCTCTCTCTGCTGGATCCTCTGCTGGAACGACCTCTGCGTCTCCTTCAGCTGGTGCTAAAGGACAAACCAATGTATGATTTTCTCTTGCATAACACAAAAGAATGTATAATGAATAATGTCTCAGGTTTCTACTAGGGCTGCACGATTAATCGCAATTTCCATGTAATCGCACTTTAAACTGGTTTGGCTTATCGCAATTTTGAAATCGCAAAGGCTGCGATTGTTTTTTATGCGCAGCTTGTCATTAATGTACGGCTCTTAAACGCTGCTCCGTCTGAAAGCACTGTGAATTTGAGTCACTTATGGTGTGCATTTGAAAGAGCAACACACATCAAATATCTTTTTAAACATGAGAATAATTTATGAACCTCCTGTCCAACAAAAGACAACATTTAATAACATGCTTTACTCCAAACGCACTTCATAAAGACAGTTGACATCAATCCTTCTGTTAGATGATGTGGCTTCTTACACAGAATAAGGCAGTCGTGTATTTATAAGTCATGTTTAATCAACATTCAAAGTGTTTAAATCTTCTGTTTATTCAGCTACAGCGATGATGCCCGATAGGGATTTCCTGGAATGATGTGTGTTATCGTACTTCTGCGGCGGGGCATATTAGGCGTGTTTGCGTGAGAGCGCCCTCTGGCCTTCAGATAAAGCAGCTTTTACTACCGATCAGCCGCACTGCACTGACAAGTTGCGCATAAAAAAAAATCGCAAATCGCGTTGCAGTTTCGTTGCAATTAATAGTGCAGCCCTAGGGCTAAAACAGCATTCAGACAGAGAGGATGAAAACAGACATTAAATATGTAAATGTATTCTAGTGGACCCATACACAAAATGATGAGCCTGTAAATGAGTATTAAGAGACTCTTAAGTTCATACCTGTTTCTCTGTCCTCTGCACTGCAGCTGATACAGTGTCGTGGTTTTTATGTTCATCCATCGTACACAGCACACATATACACTTCTGATCAGTGCGGCAGAAAACCTCGAGGAGCTTGTCGTGTTTCTGGCAGATCATCTCCTGCAGTCGTCCAGTGGCGTCAGTCAGATTGTGTCTCTTTCTTTTAAACCAACTCTCATGTTGTTCAAGGTGACTCTGGCAGTAAGAGTTCAGACACCCCAGACAAGACTTGATGGCTTTGTGTTTTCTTCCAGTACAGACGTCACACTGAACATCTCCAGCTCCAGCGTAACAGTCAGCAGGAAGTTTACGCTTCTTCAGTTTCTCCACCACTTCAGCCAGCATGGTGTTTTTAGCTAAAGCAGGTCTTGGACTGAAGGTCTGTCTGCACTGAGGGCAGCTGTAGACTCTCTTCTCATCCTCCTGATCCCAGCAGCCTGTAATACAGATCTTACAGTAACTGTGTCCACAGGAAGTGGTCACTGGATCCTTCAGGAGATCCAGACACACTGAACACAGGAACTCATCCGGAGAAAACCTGGCTTCTGCCATTTTACAGCAAGAATACAGAGACACAAACACACAACAGCTCAACTACAGTTCAGTGTCTCTTTCCCTGAACTGAAACTGTTTCTTGTTTCCTGGTTCTGTGTTTAAGTGACGTGTGCAAAACAGGTGTGTCTGTAAAGCAGCTTTCTCGTTCCTGGTCCCACACACATTGTGTTTAATCAGTCTCAGACACACACTCAAAGAATAGAAGTTACAGAGAAGCAAGACAACACCTTTAATAGTTCAGTTATTCTGTTTCATAAATACTTCACTGGTACCGCAGGACTGAAAACTGTGTCCAGTTCCTCATAGGGCTGGGACGATACACCTATCTCCCAATTCAATATCATAATACTTGGGTGCCGATACGATATCTATTGGATTTTTAAGAATTGCGATTCTACAAGTACAGCGATTCGATTTTGCACTGTATTGCGATTGTTCTTTTCTTTTTTTTTTATACTAGACCTTGAGGAACAGTTGAATCATACACTGATACAGACTGTACAGGATGTATAAGATGAGTCATATTTACAAAAACAATTCATCACATGGCAGCAAGTCTGTTGTCAACATGGCAGCAAGTCTGTAATGATTTTGCAAAGTTATTTTCTCAGCACTATTTGTCTGGTCATGTGATCTCAACATGTCCACAAGAGGTTAACTTGAGTCAGGTGCGTAGGGGAATTTCTACCACAACACTCATATGACATTCCTTTAAAAATATCATTAATTTCTGTAGAGCTGGAAACTTTATTAAGGATCAAACGACTGAGTTCAGCTTTGAGAATGAAACCAACCTGTGTGTTCCTCAGTATCTTATAACATATTTTACTTGTCTTGTGTGTGGACTTTTAAGTTTCTGTCTCCGCCTCCATTTCATAGTCAGTTTGTGGTTTTCTTGTCAATAGTTCTGTGATTGTTCCCAGGTGTGTCTTGTTAGCTTGTTACCCTCTGTGTATATCTACACCTGTGTTCAGTGTTGGTTATCGTCCTTCCATGGATGTACATGTGGAAGTCTCTCAGTTCTGTTCTCCCTGTGTTTAGTTTGGATTCGAAGTTCGTTTTGTTTTGTTATTGTTTATTAGTAAATCTCCACTTAGTTCTTCTCCTTGTTTTCTGAGTTCACCTCCTCTTTACAGTTCAGTCTTTATGTTTCACTCTGAATGTTTCTTCAATCTTCATGTCTTCACTCTCCTCTTTAATAATCACCATCTTTATAATAGTCTTACATGGATCTCAGTCGCTTCACCAGGAGTTTTTCTGTGTTTGGACACTGTCATGTTTAAAATGAGAATAATTAACAGAAAGAAAAATAAATCCAATCTATGGGTGCATCTCAAGGTAAGGCATCAGAGTGATAGTTGATGGATCTACAGTATGAAATGCCTTTCTTGTACACATGAATCTTCTTTGCCAATTCCAGATGAAACCGTGCCAAGTGGAGTGGTTGAACCTGATAAAGAGGATGTGAAGAATAACAAGAAAATCATCATCCGTTAGTGAAGTCTCCAAGAAATATCCCCTGTTTCTGGACATGCCAGCCTTGGTAATGCACACGCTCCACTAAGAAGAGAACTTTACATAAAGCTTGTATTTCATAATTTGGTCATTTTTATGTTTCTGTTTTATGCCCTGATGAAGGTGGACACTATGGGAAAGATGACTTGTTCATCAGGAAATTGGACCTTAAATGTTATACAACTCATCTGTACCTGTTGTTGAATTATTTTAAGAAGGTTTCTATGATTGTTCTATAAAAGTTTTTAATGTTTTAATGTCCTTTTAAATGTGTTTTACTGTTGTAAATACAATTATGCATTATAAATTCATCTTAAATAAGAACACAAATAAAATGGAATATGAACAGTATTTAATGGTTCTATGTGTGATTTCATAATAAAAGTATACAAACTGGATAGTGATCGAACATGTTTAATATCCTATTTTAAAACTTTAAACAATTACTCTGCAACACATAGTTGTGTTAGATGGATACAAAAAGGATCACATTGATGCGATTACTAAAGCAAGACACACATTGTGTTATTTTCAGCACATATGTTTTCAGTGTCTAGTGTCCTTTTGGAGTGGTGTGCCAAATAAAAGGGTTGGGGTTTGACAAAGTGCCAAAAGTAAATGTCAAGAAACCGAACTAACGTTTGAAACCGGTGCGGCCACCTAGTGACGTAACCCGACTGCCATGATCTGGAAGAGAACGGCTAAAATGGAAAGCATTTCTTCTAATCTGTCTGTTTAAAACCCACCATCAATTTCCACCACTGGATGCTGCTAGTGTTTGCCATTTATCTGTTAACTAGTTGACATTTCACATTGGCTTCCCACAGGAAGTTGATGATAGTGCTGTGTCTATGACATGTATAGACTAGGTCTTCTGCCACAGGTGCTGATGATTCTGAGACAAATGAATTTGCAGCCGTTGACCACTAAGTGATGTTTTAAGGCCTCGATAAACTCACGGTGAAGCTCTTTTTAGCTCTTCTCTTACGCCTGTTTCACACATACTCTGTTTGCAGTGTGTATTTTTCCCCATGTTAACAGGTTAGAGCTTTCACACTGCACACGGATGCGGTCCGTCAATGCGTTCCAGTATGGCGTTATTATCCTGTCAGATGTCGAGAGCGCATTATTGTAGCGCGAAAGTACATTAATATTATGCGCGAGCGCGAATCTCTCTGCTCGCGCGCGGAATATGATGTGCCGAGCGTGAATCTCTCTGCTCGCGCGCGGAATATGATGTGCCGAGCGTGAATCTCTCTGCTCGCGCGCGGAATATGATGTGCCGAGCGTGAATCTCTCTGCTCGCGCGCGGAATATGATGTGCCGAGCGTGAATCTCTCTGCTCGCGCGCGGAATATGATGTGCCGAGCGTGAATCTCTCTGCTCGCGCGCGGAATATGATGTGCCGAGCGTGAATCTCTCTGCTCGCGCGCGGAATATGATGTGCTATGCACAACATCAGGAAGATCAGGCCTTTCCTAACTGAGCATGCAACACAACTTCTCGTCCAGGCCCTGGTCATTTCTAGGCTTGATTACTGCAATGCTCTTCTGGCTGGACTTCCATCATGTGCAACTAAACCTCTACAAATGATCCAGAATGCTGCAGCTCGTCTTGTCTTCAACGAGCCCAAAAGGGCCCACGTCACTCCTCTGTTCATCTCTCTGCACTGGCTACCACTCGCTGCTCGCATCAAGTTCAAGGCTTTGACGCTTGCTTACAGATTGACCACAGGTTCAGCTCCCTCCTACTTCCACTCACTACTACAAGTCTACATCCCTACCAGAAGCCTACGATCTGTCAATGAGCGACGGCTCGTGGTACCATCACAGCGGGGCACAAAATCACTCTCCAGAACATTCTCATTCGCGGTTCCATGCTGGTGGAATGATCTCCCCACCCTCATCCGAAATGCAGAATCCCTGACAACATTCAAAAGACAATTGAAAACTCATCTCTTCCGGGAGCACTTAACTTAAAAAAAAAAAAAAAAAAAAAAAAAATCCTTTCCTCTAAATCCTCGCTTGCCTGGCTTATGCTACTCCGAGCTATGGCTGAACTTTGTATTTTGAGCACTTCTTGCGTTGCTTTTGCCTCTTCACGATGACTCGCTTGGTTTAGTCCTCAGTTGTAAGTCGCTTTGGATAAAAGCGTCTGCTAAATGACTAAATGTAAAATGTATGTAAATGTGCCGAGCGTGAATCCCTCTGCTCGCGCGCGGAATATGATGTGCCGAGCGTGAATCCCTCTGCTCGCGCGCGGAATATGATGTGCCGAGCGTGAATCTCTCTGCTCGCGCGCGGAATATGATGTGCCGAGCGTGAATCCCTCTGCTCGCGCGCGGAATATGATGTGCCGAGCGTGAATCTCTCTGCTCGCGCGCGGGAACTGGGCGCGCGCTCTCAGATACACTTCTCTTGTAAGAATTCTCTCTCTGGGCTGAGTGGGCTCGCTGCCTCGCTCAGAGAATATGCCTGCACTTAAAAACGTGTTCAGTGCAATCGCGAATCGCTCCTCTTCCCCAGCTAACAATTTTAGGTTATAAGAACGTTTTCATAACGTTCCCATTAAGTTATAAAAACGTTATTTCTGAATGTTCTTGGGAATTTCAAAAAGTCCCGTTTTTTAGACGTTGTATTAACGTTATTTCTTGGTTATAAGAACGTTCAATTCTCCCGTTATGTAAACGTTGTATTAATGTTATTTCCTGGTTATAATAACGTTAGAACGTTCTATTCTCCCTTTATATAAACGTTGTATTAACGTTCTTGCTTGGTTATAAGAACGTTATTCAAACGTTCAATTCTCCCATTATATAAACGTTCTCTTAATGTTTTTCTAAGATAATGAAAAACGTTTCATTCAATAAAAAACATTAAGAAATGTTTTAATAATTATTAAAACCTGTCTTAATGTTTTTTATATAACAATATAATAGGCCTAGCCTATATGAAGAACCTAAAACAAGAACTTTCAGATTTTAAAATTAAGACAACATTTTTAAAAAAAGACCCATGAATCATGTCTATAATATGTGTAATGTAGTCCACTGAAGTCGAGTTGAATTGAACCCAAGTATAGTTTATTCCAATAAACCGATTTGGGTTGAAGTGACAATATGAAATTAACATGAACATAAACTTGGACTAAACATAGAATCACCAACAATGGTACAGGGAACAAAGCTAGACAAGAGACAATGGGAACACAAGCACAAGGATTATGACCAAAAACAACCAATGACATTCACAAGTTAAAGTTAATTTAATTTATATAGCTAATTTTTACAACAATTTCCAAGTTTATGTTCATGTTAATTTCATATGGTCACTTCAACCCAAATCGGTTCATTCATTCATTATCATTCCACAAGATAATAGCACTAGAAGAAAGATGCACTCATGGTTAGATGCCAAAAGCAGTTTATGTATGACTTTAATAAATTATGTTGCTTTAATCCTGACTGATATTGTTCACAAGTACTATTGCATAGTGAAGATGACTAGATTTTTCTAATATCTTATGGCACTTTTCCATTACCAGTACCAGCTCAACTCGACTCGGCTCGCTTTTCGCTCCGTTTTCCAGTACAGATAGTACCTCTGCAATAGTACCTGGTCGTCATAGCGACGCCACAGGAAACTGCCGTGACATAATCTTCTACGCGACACACACCCGCTACCCACACACACACACACAGGACAATGGAGGAAATCGAGTGTATGCTGTTTTAATAGTAGTAATGGGTAGAGGCTATATCACGCAATCTCTGGCCAAACTATTTACAAATGGCGGGGTTATTCCGTCTGGCGCGTGCAATGATGACGCAGTGAATAGTGACGATTCTCTCTGACCAATCAGCAGTCTGCATTGTTTTCACGTCACATTTTAGTATCGCCTCAGCTCGCTCAGATCCTCGCCGGAGGTGATACGAAAAAAAGTACCCGAAAGCAGGTACAGGTACAACTTTTACACTGTGGAAAACCAAACAAAGGCGAGTCGAGTCGAGCTGGTACTATGTAGTGGAAAAGCGTCAATAGACCCGTGATTTGTCTATTACAATGCAGTTTTGTTGCGCAATTTTGGTTTTGATGTCTGTTGCTTTGAGCCAATAAACTGATGTTAACTTGTATTTGTCTTTTTTTTCGCTTTAGACCTGATGGCACTGAAAGAAGAGAATCAAGAAAAACATGAAATAGAAGAGAAAGATCAATATAAGGGACATGATTTCATGGATGTAGAAAAATCCATACAGACTAAAACATCTTCATCACGAACAATAGTTCAGAAGACCAAATCTAACAGTAACTTCACCTGCTCTCATTGTGGAAAGAGTTTCAAACTCAAACGTGACTGTATAACCCACATGAGAGTTCACACTGGAGAGAAGCCTTTCACATGTGATCAGTGTGGAGAGTGTTTCAGTCAGAGAGCAAACCTTAAATCCCACACAAAGAGAAAACACTCGGGTAAGAACCGTTTTATATCTTATTAGTGTGGAAATAGTTTCAGACTTAGGCCCTGTCCACACAGAGACGCGTTTAGCTGTATACGTACTAATTTTGTATCGTATTGGCGTTTCGTACGGATCCGGCGTTTTGGGACACTGGAACCGCTATTTTTTTAAACCGGGTCCCAGAGTGGATAAATCTGAAATCGACACCCTTGCGTTTTCGTGTGTACGGCCAATCCGTACATTTTGTGAAACGATGATATCACACCACGTGTCAGCATTAGTCACACACCACTACGTCACACGTAACATCAACAACAATGGCGGACTATATGATTGTGATCGTGCTGCAGAAGCTACTGAGCCTTTACTAAAGCAAAATCTTCTGCTCCTATGCTACTACGGTGAGCAATCTTCGCCTTCACCTTGCTGTGATGTTGGGTTCGTATACAGCGCGCAAGGTTATGCGCATTCGCTCCAAATCTTCTTCTCCTTGTTTAGTGTATCTCTGTGGCAGAGTTACAGCGCCACATACTGGTCTGGCATATATGCGTACACACGAAACCACTGAAACCGACTGAAAACGATGTGGTATACATTTATTGAGAAGACTCTGTGTTTACGGAAAAAAAATTTAGAATGAGGAAGAAAAAAAGATTGGATAGGGAAAGCTCTGGTTTCGTGTGGATGTGGCCTTAAATCACCTCCTGATTTACACATGAAGTCACAAAGGTGAGAGTCCTTACGCCTGCAAACAGTGTGGGATCCACAGAAATGGGTTATTCATTAAGTGACATGACTGGGGGATGTTTATTCCATCCACTGCATGCAGACATGATTTATAAACAATAATTCAATTGTGATTTATTTTCATGATCAATTAGTATGTCTTATATTTTCAGTTAGATGATACAGCTGCAAAATCAACAAAACTCTATGCTAACTTGGACAGATTCATCATGTTGTGAGGAAATTAAAAACTGAGTTTAATCGTAAAGACAAAGTGAACTCTAATGATAATGACCCTCAGGGACAGCATACATTTGGAGAAAAGCAGAGGACCTAATACTGAGCCCTGTTGCACTCCTTACTTGTGTTTGATGATTTATCTTGGTTTTGATATCTGTTGCTTTAAGCCATTAAACTGCCATTAACTTGTATTTGTCTTTTTCGCTTTAGACCTGATGGCACTGAAAGAAAAGAATCAAGAACTGAATGAAATAGAAGAGAAAGATCAAAATGAAAGGGATGATTTCATGGATATACAAAAATCCATACAGACTGAAACAACTTCATCACTAACAAAAGTTCAGAAGACCAAATCTAACAGTAAATTCACCTGCTCTTATTGTGGAAAGAGTTTCACTCGAGGACATAACCTTACATACCACATAAGAATTCACACTGGAGAGAAGCCTTTCATATGTCATCAGTGTGGAAAGAGTTTCAGACTTCAATCAACCTGTGATTCACACGTGAAAAGTCACACAGGTGAGAGTCGTCACACCTGCAATCTGTGGGATCCACAGAAATGTGTTATTCACTACTGTTAAAGTTACATGACTAGGGGAGTTTTATTCTATGCAGTGTGTGCAGACATGATTAAAAAAATATAAAATTCATAGGAGATTATTTTCATTATGAATGATTATTTGTTTTTTTGTCTGTTATCTGTTATCTGTTGGTTGATACAACAGCCGCAAAATCAACTTGGACAGTTGGGCAGTTTTATCACGTGAGGAAATGTAAAACAGAGTATCATTTGCAAAACATAATGAACTCTAATGATAATGCCCCTCGGGGACAGCCTACATTAGGAGAAAAGCAGAGGACCTAATACTGAGCCCTGTTGCACTCCATACTTGTGTTTGATGAAACGTCTGTTTGTTTACACAAGTATTAGCAGTCGAATAGATTTGACCTAAACCGTGCTAATGCTTAGTGACAAATGACAACGTACCTATCCAAAAGAATGTTGTGATCTAGTGCTATTATCTCTTTTGACAACATAGATGTTCTTGTGATTAGATGCCAAAAACAGGTCATGTATCACTTTAATAAATGATGGTGCTTTAATCCTGACTGAAATTGTTCAGAAGTACCATAGCACAGTGAAGAGGACTCTATTTTTCTAATATTTTAGATCTAAATGGCAGATTCAGGATTGGTCTATAACAATGCACTTTTGTTGCAAAATGTTGGTTTTGATGTTTTAATACTTCTATTTTGGTTTTGATGTCTTTGAGCCATTAAACTGCTGTTAACTTTTTTTCGAATGTTTTTTTTTTGCTTTAGAACTGAAAGACTTCACATGCCAACAGTGTGGAAAAGGCTTCATTCACATGGGAAACCTTAATTCCCACATGAGAGTTCACACTGGAGAGAAGCCATTCACATGTGATCAGTGTGGAAAGAGCTTCAAAAAGAAAGTATCCCTTAATTCCCACATTCAGAGAAAACATTCAGGAGAGAACTCAGTAAACCTCAACTCTCATACGAGGACTGCAGTGAAGCCTTTCACCTGCAAACAGTGTGGGAAGAGCTTCAAATATGATGCACTTTTTGATTCCCACATGAAAAGTCACACTGGAGAGAAGCCTTTCACCTGCAAACTCTGTGGGACTAGGTTTGCACACAAAGGAGGTCTTAAGTCACACATGTCAATTCACACTGGAGAGAAGCCATTCACATGTGTTCAGTGTGGAAAGAGTTTCAGACTTAAAGCAACCCTTGATTCACACATGAAAAGTCACAGTGGTAAGAGTCCTTACACCTGCAAACAGTGTGGGAAGAGCTTCTCATATAAAAGAACGTTTAATGCCCACAGGAGAGTTCACACTGGTGAGAGTCCTTACACCTGCAAACTGTGTGGAAAGAGCTTCTCACAAAATGGAAATCTTACGGCTCACATGAAAACTCACACTGGAGAGAAGCCATTCATGTGCCTTTAATGTGGTAAATGTTTTACACGTGCAATAACCCTTACTTACCACTCTAGGCTTCACTGAAGAGAGAACTTTTAATTGTCATCAGTGTGGAAAGATTTTCAGTCAGAAAATCTCACTTGAGGTTCACATGAGGCTTCACACTGGAGAGAAACCTTTCACGTGTCTTCAGTGTGAGAAGAGTTTCATATACAAAAGAGACCTGAAACGTCACTTGCAAACACGTTGTGGAAAGAAGCTTAGAAAAAGGAGCAATTTCAAAAATGTTCAACGCATTCAATCTGGAGAAAGGCAATTTAATTGTGATCCATGTAATAACTTTCTTTTGCCATCACACTTACAGATTCACTTGAAAAGTCATGCAGATTTGAGACCACATTTGTGTTCTTTGTGTGGAAAGAGATTTAAATGGCTCACCGGTTTAAAATGGCAGCAGAAAATTCGTATCTGTGTAAGAGTAAAGTTACGTTCACGCCGCAGCTGAATGTCAACCAAGTGTGATTGTATAATTTTTATTAAACTTTTTTTTTGTCTTATAGGTATGAACTCCCATGGCTGCACCTGACCATCCGCTTTACTTTAGTTCAAATAGTGTCATTATCTAGCTCTATTCAGTTCAAGCTTTTGTTCTCGTTTGAAAGTGTCAGTGCAGTCTACTTGACTTCAGTGAGTTCACTGTTTTAAATTAATACATTACTAGCTAACTGCGTGGTTTGTATACATCATTTAGACACCTCTGATAACTGATCACTCTAACTTGAAATGTAGACGCATACATTTTCTGTGAAGCTGCTTTGAAATTATATGCATTGTGAAAAGCGCTATACAAATATAGATGAATTGAATTGATAATCTCTGAATATTGTCTTTTAAATTCCAACTAAGTAGGCCAAAGGCGACAAAGGCAAGGAACACACACTCAGGAACTACCTTGACAGTAGTGAAGAGGAAAAACAAAATGTGTGTCCAAATACAAAAGCGTATTTTACTCACCTTGCCCAGTTGTGGTAACTCAATTATTTAAAGCTTCTGTGATATTATGATCTTACATGGCAAAAAGGTCACCTTTTAAATAATATTTTCAGGCGTTTTGACTGGTATGTCAGGGTTTTCAACCATCATTGCTACCAACATGGAACCTGTGTAAAGTGAGTCAATTATTGTAAAGTTGCATGTTGTGGCTTTTTTGGGGTGTGGTGATGGATTGCCTAATAGTTATAAATAGAATCACTTTTGCAACAACGATTTTCACCTAATTTTCCTTTACTCGCTGACTACAGTTCATCAGTAAGGTGAGAGAACCAGATATAAACTTACCCGTTAAAAACCCAAATATTCTCGAATGAACAGTCGTATAATTTTTGTGATGTTTCAAGCAGGGTTGCTAGGTTTTCACAACAAAATCCGCACAATTGCTACTCAAAACTAGCCCAATCGCGTTTCAGGGTGGGTCTCAAAAATGCGTGCTGGGGGCTAAAGTCTGCTTTGTTGGTGGGTTCCCCTGGGAAAATTCGCATTCCATGTTATATGGGATCGCTTCAACCCGCAGACATGAAAAACAACCCACGGAAACAGTGTTAAAGTAGCCCAATTCTGTGATCTTGGCAACACACTGGTTTCAAGTTCTGTGATCGGCCACGTTAGTGATCACCCTAGAAGCGTCCAACTGAAAAATGGTAAAAGCAAGAAAATTCAACTGTAACATCAAATTGTTATTTTGCCCTGGATATTACACATCAACCTCATTCCAAGAAGATAAAATATTTTTATCAGCAACCACTTATAAATGGCCCAAACAAGACTCTGCGACATTGGAATCAAAATTAAGGAGTACAATCAAAAGTAAAGTAAAAGAGGATAATTAAATGTCTAGAAAGTGATAACATAAATGACTAATGATCAATTGGCATTCCAACCTAAAACTCGGGGTCATGGTAAGAGTTTAATTGAAATTGTAAATGAGGTTGCACACTGAAAAGACCAAACACGCACAAAACCTTCAATTACGTGGACCTTACCCTGTCCATAGGTGAAGTGAATACCGTTAATTATCTCCTAAAAAACAATAGGTCTATGTGGCACCAATGTTGTGTCAATGACGCTGAACAGGTGGAACAACTCAGGCAGGACACAATCAGCCTCAAACAGATCAACAACGGCCCTTCCAGGCAAATTGAAGTTGTGGTGCTTCCATTTTTGGCTGCTACCCCGTCTAATGTGGCCAATGGGCTCTATGCACGGCGGTATTTCCGGTGAAGGTCTAAGGATGCTGGATTACTTCCGCCGATCGTAGAGTCCAATGCTATTCCGAGAATTTATATTGGTTTTTATACTCTATTGCTATACTAAAGAAACGTTAGTCACAAAAACAGACAAAACAGACACCCCTCATTTTGTTTATGCTTATTTGTTTATTATATTGAAAAAACATAACTATATATAAAATTACATCTAAACGTATTAAAGTTTCGTTTCAAAGACGAGAGGACAGTAAATTTTGAAGACTCTGCCATAATCCCGTTTTCCTCGGTTTTCCTCCGCTTTAAATCTCCCCAACCGGAAACGCACGAGCATCCTTGCGTCAAACGCGGAACTTATGCGTGCATATAGCCCATTACAATTTACAAGGCCAACTGTCCCACGTCAGTTGAGTGGAGAGGCTGGTGAATGCCCCAAGTAAGGAAGTGGCTTGGGCTACCAAGATGCATGAGCACTGTAGGACTGTATGTGAACGAAGCTCGCTCTTTGCCTATCTCTCAGGCCTGGTGGAAGAGGCCAAATGTGCCAAAGTACGGCTGGAGTTGACACTCACTGAGTCCCAGGATCCCTTGGTACGTGGTGCTGCTCCCACTTTGGCAGTTGGGAGGAAATGGAAGCCGGGCGCAGCAGTAGCAGATGCAAAGGCCGCCCTCAGACATCGGGATGTAGTGGGGCATGTCCAACAGGGTACAGGAGGCATTGAGTTAGGAACAACAACACCCACATGGGAAAAGGCTACTCCAACCGAGCGGCATCAAATGGTGGTGATAGAGGTGCGATGCCAGGAGGTAGTTGCGTGCTGCGCTGTGCCTCACAATTCTCAACAGGGACATAGTTGAAGATTAGGAACACCATGATGACGGCCCCCCTGAACCCCACGCATGGGAGAAGATGTGTGGGACAATCTGGCTGCTGCGGTGTCTGCTTTGATAATCCCTGTGCCTGCTCTCAGTGAGCACGATTACCTATAAAACATGTAAAGATTAAGATGTTTTACAATTCATGTTGTCAGCAATCCATCTCTTGTCAAATGTCTTTTCATGTGTTTACAATTACATGCTAATTTTTGTTGTAGCTGTATTTCTTTTGTGGTGTAGTGGGCTAAACCACTGAACTGGTACGCAGAAGGTTGCTGGTCGATCTCCATAGCCGTCACCACCAGTGTGTCCTTGACCAAGGGCTCTTTACTCCAGGTTTCTCCAGGGTTATTTGAGACCACATTTGTAATAAATTTATTACACATTTGTCCCTGTAATAAATGCACTGTTAGTCACTTTGGATAAAAGCATCTGCCAAATGCATAAATGTAAGAGATTTTTGTAAAGCCTTTTTTTTTTTTTTTTTTTTTTTTGGGCACAAAACGCTCAAAGCTGCTTATTTCTTCAAGGTACTACAATTAAACAAAATGCATATATAGATTTACTACAATTTCTATTTGTCGGGTTAAAGGGTTAGTTCACCTAAACATATAGAGCTGGTAAGTCCCGCCCCTTCCGCTTACCCCGCTGGACCTCTAGGTTGAAAAATCGTCAATGCAAGTGAATTATTTTCTAATCCCGTTTGAATTTTGCAATGAATGTGAACATATGTTGTCTGTGAATTTTTTATATAATTTTTTGTGTAAAGAATGCTACAATTTAGCGGGTAGAATTTTCATACGGTTAGACTTTGTGTGAGAGCACTTTGTGGACTACAACTCTTCGCTGCTTTCGACGCGTTTGATATACGTCACCACCACTAGCACACGGGTCCCGCTAAACATGCCTGTGTCTTTGGTGCACTTCACCGCCTTCTTTCAGGGAGAGGACAAACTAGTTGAGCGTGGTGAAAACCACTTCAGGTCTGGGCATGTGGAAGGGTTTAGGTACGCAAGTGGGGAGATGGCCGGCGTTATCCACGCCAGTCGACGAGAAAAGTGGTATAATGTTTTGGTGAGTCTACTAGTTAACTAGCACGTTAGCAAATTGCTAGTAGCAGTTACTGCAGCGAAAGCAAAGCTCCCGAGATTTAACCATTATCTTGAGTATTTTCGAGTGTTATTCAGTCAGAAAATTGTTATTCTGCATAATCCACAAATGTAACTAGTGTTGCTGTGGCTAAAGTGCTGTAGCACTAGTTGTTTCTGTGCCGTTGTGAAGCTGCTGTGCACGTTAACAATGTCCCTCCGTTTACTGTTGCAACTACCCTGTAGAGAACCCGACATCCCAACCTGCAAAGGTTTTATATATGTATGTATATATATATATATATTATGAAGACTTCATATGCAAAAGCCTCTAAGTGCCATTTGAAATTTACTTCTAGAATTATCATTTTTGGTTGGGATGTCTGGTTTTCTTTTTGAGTCTTTTTAAACAGGAGTTTGTTGTTTTCATGTATAACTTGGCAACTAGCCTGAATAATATGCACATGAAATGAAACTTGGTGAACCCACCTCAACATGTCTTTTACAATCATTTAACCCACCATGGGTAATGCTGAAGTCACTGTTACAAACTGTACAGAGTGCAAGACTGTCATTATGTTTTACTCTTATAAGACAGGGGTACACTTTCGTGTAGTCTGGCGTAAAATGTGTCTTATACTTTCGTTTTTCGTGGGACTCTTTCTCTGCCATGGCGCTTCTGTTTCTAGATACACTGAGCTGATTAATTTGCGGTTAGGGAGAAGAGATAAAAGCCCGCCCACAGTGACACTTGATTGGTTGATTTACCGAAACAGCCTAATCAGGATGCTCTCATCCGGGAGACTTGGGATGTCTGGAAAACATGCAAGCCACTGTGTATCCAAACCACAACAAGCTATGAACCATCTACGATCTAACCATAGGATTGATATTCTACCCAGCTCCTGTTTTAACAGATCTCCCTGCGTGATGATGGCAGCATACTGAAGTCCTCC